CTGCGACTGCTGGGGCAGGTAGCGAGGAGCCTGGTTGGGGCACCTGCTGTCTCTGCGACTGCTGGGGCAGGTAGCGAGGAGCCTGCTTTGGTCACTTGCTGTCTCTGAGGCTGCTTGGGCGGACATCTGTGCCTGCTGGGGCACTTGAGGCTGCTGGGGCACTTGAGGCTGCTGGGGCTGATAACCAGACTTTGCAAGAAATTTAAAAGTAAACCTCCGACAACCACAGGTGGCAAAGACTGATTATTTGGTTGCACTTGCGGCTGCTGCTGCTTGGGATAGCCAACCTGCTGGGGCACCTGAGCTAACTACTGCTGGGGAGGACAGCCAGGCTGCTGCTGCTGCTGCTGCTGCTGCGGAGGATAGCCAGGCTGCCGGGGCACCTGGGGGTGCTGCTGCAGAGGATAGCCAGGCTGCCGGGGCACCTGGGGGTGCTGCTGCAGAGGATAGCCAGGCTGCCGGGGGACCTGGGGCCGCTGCTGCGGCTGCTGGAGAGGATAGCCAGGCTGCCAAGGCACCTTGGGCCGCTGCTGGAGAGGATAGCCAGGCTGCCGGGGCACTTGGGGCCGCTGCGGCTGCTGGAGAGGATAGCCAGGCTGCCGAGGCACCTCGGGCTGATGCTGCTGCTGCTGCTGCTGCTGGAGAGGATAGTGTTGAGAGAAATGTAGAAAAATTGTAAAGACATTATCATACTGTGCTCGCTTGAAAATATACATGCATTAAAACTTAGCACACACACACACAGATCAGAGACAGAGACTGAACTAGGACAAAATGTACACTGCTGGCTGCTTCCCATTAGCATAAACAAAAAAGACCTTAGAAGGCGGTCATATCCTAGTGTGACTAGATGGTCTACTGAAGACGAGAGGCCTAAAACAGACCGGCCGAGGCTCTCGTGTCATACTTGACATCTGATAACTTGATAGAAAAGCCCACCGGGGGTATTTGCTTAAGAGAGAAAACGCAACATGGCGCCCAAACGTGGGGCTCGAGTGAATTAAAATCAATAACCAAGATTTAAAACTCGAGTTAAACATAGGAACCCAACCTGTAGATTCTACTCAAAATAATCGAAAAAGCACCACCAGCCAAGGTGTAAAAACGGTATACCACCCGTGTCCGCTGTAAAACGACAACCTGGTAATAAAAAGCTACTGTAGCCAATGGAGAACTAGCTAACTGTCAGAAAGCCCGGGTCGCTCCCCGGCGGAGGAAGACAAAAAACCAACCCACGTGTATACTGAACTCACGTAACTACCGCCCGTACGGCGTTTCTACAGACATACCACCTGTGTCCGGTGTAAAACGGCAAACAGGTTAGAACATACAAATACCGATCTTGCATGAACATAACCAAAACTAACCAGGTTTGAAATCCACCCAACAATGGCCATGGCAGCAGCAAGCGACTGGCACACCGATTTAGAAACAGATGACCACAGAAGGCCCTCAATGGACGCCCTTAGGACATTAGAAATAAACTACGGGTGTCAGCTACAGAAAACACCTCCCTTGCAAAAGGATGTAATAGGAAAAGTAACCTTGGTAGAAGGAGATATAACCAGCCTCGATGTAGGAAACGGACCCAACTGTTTCTTTAACCCCGCAAATTACAGATTGACTAATGCAGCAGGAGTATCTGCCGCACTAGTGCGGAGGTTCGGATCCCAGATTAACCGCTTCTGTGAAGGTAAAGTCCCTATAGGAGGACTGTCTGAGGGAACTATACTCAAACAAAGCCTAAAAGGAGAAAGAGGGGCAGTATCTATGGTACACATACCATATCACCCATGCCCACAAGGGATGAGTGTAGAAGACCAAGAAAGGAAACTCAAGCATGCTAGGAAAAGGACTAGGAATGGTAAACCAGGGAGAAATCATTGTCACCACCCTCTTCGGGAACAGAAACTTCCACTACCAATCCCAAGCAGCACAAAAAGCAATAATGAATTTCATAGCCAACGCTAGACCAACACAAAACATCATTCTGGTCCTCAGAGACCCAAACACATACAGAACGTTCAAAACTCACCTGGAAAATCTCCCAGTGAACCCAAATCAAAACCCACATCTAGGAAACCACCGAAATACCACCTATACGGTACCCTGTACCCCCAAGTGCACCTCCCAGTGTCCCTCGTCCCGGACAATACGTGTTCGAAGAAGACGAATGGGGACTAGACCCCCTGGAACCACTGGTAGGGCCCGCAACCGGGACAAATGGACGGTTTTCCCGCAGCTCTATTCAACATAGTCAGGGAACAATCCCCAGGTAGAAGACAGCCTAGACAGCTACCAGACCCCATAAGGGACACGGACACCCAGCGAGTCAGAGGAGGTATTGGACCACCTATACCCCCAAGAAATAGGGGACCCCCACCACCCCCGAGAGACCCAGAACCTGATGAGCCCGATAGGGAAAATCTTATTCAGGGCCATCATTTTCGCTTAGCAGGAACCTACTTCATAATCCAAGCTGCTAGACCGGACAAAGAGCCTGATTGGCCATAGGGCAACAGAAATGCGATAGGGCCCCTGTTCTTATATAGGGAATACCACGTAGACATTGGAAATGACCATGCGGCGGAAGCCGAGGTACGTAGAGCCATGGGAGCTAGCTGCTACCTAAATACCAGACAAAGACTGAAAAGACCGGTGCACCTCGGGCCGCTGCTGCTGCTGGAGAGGATAGCCAAGCTGCCGGGGCACCCTGGGCCGCTGCTGCTGCTGCGGCTGAGGAGGATAGCCAGGCTGCTGGTGCACCTCGGACAACTGTTGCTGCTGGAGAGGATAGCCAGGTTGCCGGGGCACCTGGGGCTGCTGCTGCTGCTGCTGCTGGAGAGGATAGCCAAGCTGCCGGGGAACCCCGGGCCGCTGCTGCTGGAGAGGATAGCCAGGCTGCCGGGGCACCTCGGGCTGTTGCAGCTGCTGCTGGAGAGGATAGCCAGGCTGCCGGGGCACCTCGGGACGCTGCTGCTGCTGGAGAGGACAGCCAGGCTGCCTGGGCACCTCGGGACGCTATTGCTGCGGCTGCTGCTGGAGAGGACAGCCAGGCTGCCTGGGCACCTCGGGACGCTATTGCTGCGGCTGCTGCTGGAGAGGACAGCCAGGCTGCCTGGGCACACGGGGTGGCAGCTGGGCAGGGCAGCTTTGGCTGCTGGCCAGGATAGCCAGGTTGCTGGTGCTGCTGGCCAGGATAGCCAGGTTGCTGGTGCTGCTGGCCAGGATAGCCAGGTTGCTGGTGGCCAGGATAGCCAAGCTGTTGCTGCTGCTGCTGCTGCTGCTGCCCAGGATAGCCAAATTGTTGTTGCTGCTGCTGCTGCTGCTGCTGCTGTTGTTGGGCAAAAGAACCAAGTTGCTGCTGCTGCTGCTGCTGTGCGTGATGCGGAACCTGGGGCACCTGCCACTGGGGCTGATACCCAGACTCTGCTACCTGTGGCTGTTGAGGATAGTTTGATGAATACTGGATTTCTGGCACAGACTGATCATGTGGTTGCTGAGATTTAGCTTCAGGCTGGTAATTAGTTGTGTTTTGTAGCTACTTGCCTTATATACATTTGATGTTAAACCACCACCACCAAGAAGCCAAGTCCTCCATGAAAATCCATCTCCAGTTTTAAAGTCACTTGAATATGGTCGATAGCCTGCAACTGGTACTTCATTATCGCCATGCTTCTCAGCAGATCTAATACTGAAACCTGTAGAGCAGACATGTTAGTCCATGCATACAAACATTTAAGCTTCACAACTTGACTAAACTTACCATGTGCTTGATGTCTTCCAACAGCTAGCAAGGACAACAGAAACCATCTAGACAAGACATCCCAGAGTTACTATGATTTACTAATGAGTGGAAAAACTTAAACAATTAAACAGAAAAGAGTCTAAAACTTACTGTAAGAGAAACCCCATGGCTTCAGCCACAGTTGTAGGCCAGTGACGCCGCAAACTCAATCACTCCTCCTACAAAACCACACAACTGAACCAGAGTGAAAACAGGAAGTTACTGAAGCCACACTGGAGCTCTTTTTAAGCTCACCCATCTTACCTTGATGATTAACTGGACACAGGTGTGAGCAGTTGAAGGCAGGTATGGCTAATTATCTGGAGAGATATACTGCATTATGGGAAACATGAAAGGATTTTTGCACATCATTCCTGAACATGATTAAAAAAGATGCTCCGCTTCATCACTGTGTTAATTCAGCCATACTTCATATATCATGAGTTAGAACATTTGTTTCAGTAAACATCCAGAAGAGGGCAGAATAAAGTCAGATCATCAGACTTCATCAACAGTAACATAATGCTTTCTGCTCAACTAGATTAGAGTTTCACATGAGGTTTCACACGGGGCTATATTGCATAATAATTCAGACAAATACATGTTTGTAGTCTGGTTTTTAAAACTTTGAATTTAATACAAAATTGGATTCACAAAGACTTTAATTACATGGTTATATTTGGTGGACATTTAATGAATCAAACAGAGGAAGGAGGAAAAATGAGTTATTGTAAGTTAAATAATGAAAATAAATCAATGTGAAATGTATTAAAGCAATCTTTCTCAATATTAAAATACAAATAATAATAACGCAACTAATAATAATAATCAGCATAATAATAATAAAAATAATCTCCATTATCATTTTCAATTGTCTTTTTGTATATATAAATATATATAAATACATATATACATTTATATTGGCTTTCGAAAACTACATTTCCCATCAGCAACCACATTACGCAAGGTTTACACAACTTCCTGAAACACGCTTTCAGAATAAGAGAATTTCCCCATGTTGTTCACATCGTCGTTGCGTTATCGAGCGAAAATTTTAATCCCGGCTTTTATTTTGAAATCGGGGTCATTCCTCCGTGTTTCGTCGTCCCCTGAGCGGAGCCAACGATCGAACTTCAACCGGCGGAGTTTGACCCGTATCGCACCACGAACGGTGCGGCTTCAAGGTAGAAAACAAAAGTCCCGCCGCGATGAGGCTCCGTCTGGCCGGAGCCGTGCTGCTGTCCGCGGCCGCCTACTACGTCTACCTGCCGCTACCGAGCGGCGTGAGCGAGCCCTGGAAGCTGATGCTGCTGGACGCGCTGTTCCGGAGCTTCATGCAGGCGGTGAGAGCTGGAGGAGGACAGGTTGATGTGGGTCAGACAATAAGAGACAATAAGAGACAATAAGAGATAATAAGAGATAATAACAACAAGAGTCATGTGACTGACAGTACACAAACAATACTAGTAAACCGGACAGATCACAGAGCACATGATAATAGAAATAAATAGAAATATCACGTGGGAAAGAAAAGGGATATGATTCAGAATAGCATCAAATTTAGTAAAATAACAGTAACTCAGCACAACAGATTTAATTATAAATCTAGATAGATTTCACACCTGACAATAAAATACAATATTATATACTGTTACATTCTACTGTATATTATACTAGATTAAAACATAATTCTATATACTGTAACATACTATATTATAGTAGAATATAATACTATATACTGTAACATAGCCTACTATATTATAGTACATTCAAATATAATATATACTGTAACATACAGAATGCAATAGAATACTATGCATTGTACCACACTATAGTAGAAGAAGATAGTAGAACAGAATACTATATCTCGTAATAGGCAGTACTGTACAGTACTATAGTAGAGAGTACAATGGAACACAATAGATTGCAGTTGGATATCCCACAATATAGCAGAATAGAATAGAATGCTATAAACTATACAGTACTATAGTACAATAGAAAATAATAGACTAATAATAACTGGGCTGGGAATTAGAGAATACAGTAATAAGTATTGTTATGTATGCATGTTTATATAGAATAGAACAGTATATAAATATAAATCTATATAATGTAACAGAACACAAAGGACTACTAATGGTCACATGAGCAGGTCAGGAGGTGAACCAGCGTATCGTGTGCATTTGGTGATCGGAGTAACAAGTAGATGACCTTTGACCCTGCTGCTGTACACAACATGTTTCGGCAGCTCACACACTAAACCTTGTGTTGTTCTGCATCAGTGTGGATCAACAAGTTCCCACTCAGCGTGTAGGACAGGTTTACACGCCCTGCTTAATCTGCTCACTGCTCGTTTATTATCACCTCTATGCAAATGTGCTGTAATGGAAAGGAGAATATTTCTACTTTATTCCAATATTTCTATTTTATTTAAA